TAGTTTCTGTCCTGCAGCTCCTGATGCCGCTCTGCTGCCCCCTGCTGGTGGAGATAGACTCAGACCAGGAGCTTCCCTCCTTTAAGTTGCTCCGCAGCACCTGTCACATGAGAAAGAGTGTGGACAAAGGTTCCCAGCCTCCCACAGGCAACTGCCCCACTGCCCTGTCCAGCTGAACACAGACAGGTCACATACACAGTGCAGGCTACAGGACAGGTGCGATTCCTGTAGTTGTCCCAGGGTTGAAATTCCCTGCCCTAGACTGCTGTCTTGTTATAAGAATGAGAGGGAAGGTACAGTGTAGTGCATTTGAAAAGGGTCAGTGTCCAAACAAACCTGTGTGATCTCCCACAGCCACCGGGTTCCTGTGTATTTAGGAATCAGAATCAATGCTTCCTGCATCACTATCGGTGTAGTTGGATCATGGGAGTGACAGGTGATGATTCTGGTGTAAAGTTAAGTTAGCAGGAATATATTTAATTTTATTGTTATTACTTCTGTTTTTATTACTTTTTTTTTATTATCCAGCCCTCACCTCCAGAAGTTTTGTGTGGGAGGATTTGTAAAATATCCTAGTCTGTGGCTTGGTGATGTTGGCAAACTGCTCCTTCAGACCTGGATCCAATCGCACATGCTGTAGGTACAGTATAGCTGAAAACTTTTCCTTGAGTACCCACAGAAGCATACTGGAGACTCCAACACCAAGAACCTCCTGAGTTGCTCTCATTAAAGAGACACTTTAGTGTTTTGTATCATTTAATTTGAAATGACATATTTCCTACTTGAGTATTAGCTTCCCCATTTCACAGCAAGCAGATGCCCAGAGAATAAATTCCCAGGAAAACAGAGGAAAATAGGGGGAGTCTGGTAATGCAGCCCAGGTGTCTTAGATTTAGACCTGGAGCCTCTGGGCCAGAACTTGACTATGGTTTAAAGAAGAGAGTGTACATCTGGGGTTGTGCCCCCAGACTCACAGCCATCCCCCTCCTGGCCTGGTCTATCAGGGAGCCTCCTACGCTCCCCTTGCAAGTGGGAGGGTCTGTGGGCTTGTGTTTCAGGTTAGAAATGCAGAGTCTATGGGGCAGTGGAGGCAGGTTGGCTGTGCTGGGGCCTGGCCTGAGTCCTGCTGGCTCCCTTCTGTATCACCACTTTATCTTCGGCTCTACTCTCCCGAGCCAGTGGGAGTGACAGGGATCTCATGGCCATCTACAGGGGCATCTGAGTCTTACAAGTGAACAGAGGACCGCCAATTTCAAGAAACTCTGGGGGACATTCTCTGTTTTCCCAACCCCTGCATCAAGCCCTGGGCCAACCTCAGGGTCAGGGTCATGGTCAGGGTTCTGTGGGAGCTGAACCTGTAGGGAGGGCCTGGGACATCCCCTGGGCAGGGAGTGAGGAGAGAGAGAGCAGCAGGGTCCATGTCATGGTGGGGACAAGAGATCTGTCTGTTGAGTCCACAGCTGAGTCTTCCCCCCTGCAAGCCTCCCTCATTCTCTCACTGGTCCCCCTGAAGATGTTCCTTCTCAGCCTGGTAGAGAGAATCTCTGTGCTTCTGGGTGGGCTTCCTGGATCTGGTGCATGATGTGAGAGCCAAACTCATGTCTCGACTCTTCGTGGGGAGCTCTGGTCACTCTGTGTTTGAAAATCTTAAAGTCCGGGAGAGAAGGGACATGTGTGGGCATTTTGTAGTTGTTCTCATGACACGTTCACTGTGTGTATTCCAGGTCTTCCTCCTGTGTGTGATACACGTAAGAGAAAATCATCCTGATTATTTTTAGGGACTCCATTCATCTTCTCAGATTTTCTATGTGTTCCCTGTGAATGTTTCATGTCCCAGATGGTGGAGCAGAATTGTGTGGGAATGATCTTAAATTGTGGCTTAGATTCTGTGTCACTTCCCTTCCTGGAGGTTTCTGATGGGCAGCATCTACTTGGGTGTTGCAGTGATATTCAATATAACAATCTTTGTCCTTAATCTTGGCATTTAGAGCATTTCCTGAATGTGACTAGTAATATCATTTCAATATGGCAACTTCCTTTATGTTCTTGTTGTCCCATGTGTCCTTTGTTCCTTCTTTCCATGTATATATTTTTGATTAACATAATATTTTTAAATGATTCCATCTTATCTCCCATTTTTGCTTAAGTTCCTTCTGTCTGATGATCAATAACTTGCAATAGTCTACGTTCTGTGATGCTACCAATTTATATGGTATATAAGCACCTGATAACATCCTTCTGTGTCTCACCTCTCAGCATAGTCACTGCGATTTTCCTACATACTATTTCAACTCTGTCAGGAGTTCCAACATACATAGTTATTTTATGTTCTGCACAGTATATTTTTCTGCACACTTTTAAAGAGAATTAGATAATAAAGAGGTCTTAATATTTATCCCCCTAGTTAGCATTTATGATGTTTATATTCATTTTGTAGATTCAGATTTTTCCTGGAATCATTTTATCTTCCTAAGGGATGTATATTGTTGCTTGTATTGTGTGTCAGCTGATGAAAACTTCTTTCACTTATTTTATGTGAAAATTTTCATTGAGACTTCATTTGTGAAGGATGTTTTCCCTGGATGAATTGGTTCTTCCCCACCACCCCCAACCCATTCTTTCATCTTTAATTTAGAGACATTAATCCAGTGTCTCTTGTTGGCATTTCTACCAACGCAAAAACCACTAACATCTTCTTCTGTTTGTTCCCCTGAGGGCAGGGACTCTTTCCCTCTGGCTGCTTCTAAGACTCTCTTGTTCATGGCCTTGAATATTTGATATAAATATGTGTTGTTGTTTTCTCTTCCTTTGTCTTGTGCTTGTGGTCTGTTGAGATTCTTGGACCCATGCATCTTCAGTTTCATCAAGTTTGGAACATTCTCGCCAATGACTGTCCAAACATTTTTCCATCCCCTACACACTGCTGTCTCTCCTTTTCGGACACACTACATCCTATTCCACCCCTAAAGGTGTCCTCCAGCTTGGGGATTCTCTGTTTACGCTTGTGTCTTTTCTTCACTCTCTCACTTTGCAGTGTCTGTGCTGTGTCTTCAGGTTCCCTCATGTGTTCTTTGCTTTGTCGTGTCTGCTGTTACTCTCAACCCCTGGATTTGTTATCTGAGACATTGGAGTTTCATCTGTAGGAATTGGATTTGTACCCTTTAACTTTCTTCTCTGTGTCCTGTGATCCTGTCAGCGCTCAGACTACATTTAGATGAGACATCGCAACATCATTCTTGCTAGAAAATCCAGGCTTCTGGCCTCCCTGCATCTTGAGTGCATGCACATTTTTTAAAAAGCATTTATTTATCTATTTATTTATTTGGGAGAGAAAGAGTGAGAGAGAACAAGCAAGGGGAGTTCCAGCCATAGGGAGAAGTATGTTCCCTGCCAAGTAAGGAACCTGATACAGGACTGGATCCCAGGACGTTGGGATCGTGACCTGAGGCGAAGGCAGTTGCTTAACTGACTGAACGACCTTGGTGTCCCTATGACCCATTTCTTTAAATCAGCTTCTGTCTATCTCCCTGTTTTTGTCTCTCTGGGTATGTGTGTGTAACATATGAATATACATCCAGGTGTGTATGAGTTACAGGCCATATTGGATCCATATTCCCTGGAGAACCCTAACTAATGCACCTTATCAGCTCTTTCTTTTTGTGGTTCAAATGGTTTTATTTTGGTGTCTTACTTGGTGTTGGAGATCTTCACTGCTAATTGTCAAGTACCTTCTTGTGACATGGTGTCAATTACATGTAGAAGAAGGATGTGATAAGAAAATTTTCTTTCCCCAACATTTTTACTGACGATTGTCATATATTTTATAGATGCATATTATAAATCACAATATATTGTTCTTATTTCTACCTAAACAGTTGACTCTTTAGTAGACACTAAATAATAAAATCTTTTTACATTTACCCATTTAGGTTTTGCTCTCTGATACCATTGTGTAGACTCACATTTCACTCTGCTACACTTTCCTTCTGTCCCAGGGTGTCCTTCACTGTCTCTTGTGCCAAGAGTCTGTGGGTGATCAGTTCTGGGAGGTTTACAGTCTGAGAAATGTTTAGTTTGTCTCACTTTTCAATGACATTTTGACTGGTTAAAAATGAAGGTTGACAAGAAACAGACTCTTCAGTGTAGAAAACAAACTGGTGATTACCACAATGTGGGGTGGGAGGATGACTGACATAGATGATGGGCATCAGAGAATACAAAAATAAAAAAAATAAGATTGTCCGTTTTTTTAGTTGTATTTTGAAGACATTGCCGCCCCCAACTCAGTTGCTATCTGATGACCGACAGTTTACTTGGTTTGTAAGGAGGAATGTATTCCCACCACGGTACTGGATCCCTACCTATATGGAACACGACTCTCCTCTCTGGCTGTTAGAGTGTCTACAATCACTGGTTTGAGTGATTTCATTACAATATCTGCTGTGCTGTCTCTCATGTTCCCTGTGCCCGAGCTTCGTTGAGCTTCTTGGATACATTGGTTCATAGGTTTCACAATTTGAGAACTTGGTCGCTCTTTTTCCTTCAGATATGTTTTCAGTCACCATCCACTCCCCACTGTCTCTGCCTCAGTTACTCCAATTACACATCTTTAGGTGGAAAGAAGTTGTCCTCCCTGCACTGGGACTTTCTTCAATTTCTCCAGCTATTTCACTCTGTGTTTCATTTTGAACAATCTCTATTGCTGTGACATCAAGGTGACTAGTCCCTTCTTTGGTAACATGTAATCTGCTGTCAGCCTCCATCTCTGTATTTTTAAGTCTCAGAATATATGATTATCTTTTAGGCAAGTTTTAAAAGATCTGGGCTTTGTAAAATGTCTTCTATTGTCTGCTCCTAACATATTCAGTCATTCATGAGCTCACATCCACAGCTTAAGTATAGTTATAATAAATGTGTCCTTATCCTCTGCCAATCCATCTTGTAGAACCTGTCTGAAGGTGTGTAAGGAGAGTCAGCCTGTGGATCTCAGATGTGGGATCCTAGACTAAACCTGCCCCCTGCTCTGTGCATAGTCCTCCTGGGGTTGGAGGAGGTTGAGACACAGGCAGGGAAGGGGATTTTGTCTCACTTCCCCATCTGCCTGTGTCACTGTGAGCTTCACCACTGCTATCTGATGACTGACAGTAATAGTCAGCCTCATCCTCGGCTTGGGCCCCGTTGATGGTTAGGGTGTGTGTGGTCCCTGAACTGGAGCCAGAGAATCGGTCTGGGATCCCAGAGGGACGCTCAGTGTCCTTATAAATGACCTGCACAGGGGGTTGGCCTGGCTTCTGCTGGTACCAATATGCATATCTTTCTGACAGTATCTCTCCAGAGCAGGTGATGGTAGCTGTCTGTCCCAGGGACACTGACACCGAATGAGGCTGAGTCAACACACTGGAGGCCATGGAGCCTGAAAAGACAGAAGAGGAGAAGTTGGTGTGAGGTTCAGTGGCTCCTTCCCTGGGTCCCCATAATGAGGTTTTTCTTGGTTTGAGCTCAAGTTCTGAGTCAGGCTCAGCTCAGGTCCTATAGGAGCTGAGGATTTGCAGAGGGTCCAGGGACACCACCTGTGCAGAGAGTGAGGACGGGGAGCAGGAGAGGAATCCAGTCCATGGTGGAGATGCCCAGAGCTCTGCTTCCTGAGATCCCACAGCACTGCTGGGTTCCACCCCAGCCTCTTTTATTCCTTTCTATGTCCTTGGGTCAGTGACTGTTAGTAGTTATGCAAATTTCCTCCACTTCAGGGGCTCCTAATTGATCCACCGGTTGTGAGATCAGAACATGTGATTGAGGAGGAAGAGAGGAGTCCCGAGTTTACTCCAAGCAGCTGCCAGTTTCAAAACCATCCTCGACAGCAAACATCTGGGATCAGTTACTTTCCTGGCATCTGAACACATGATAACCAAATGAAACTACTCTATATGGGGTGTGCCTTTGGTTTTCTCTGTGGTCTCTCAGGAGGCTGGCCATGGAGGTGGGCTGGGTCCTCTGAGAGATGCAGACACCTGGTTCAAGGAAAGGTGATCCTATGCCCTCATTACCTTACTCCTCCTGCACTGTGTCCCCACTGTGTCCCCCTGAGGCACTGTGATCCCATGCTTCCCATGTCATCAGATTGTGGAACTTTCTCATCAGAATGTTTGTGCATCGTTGTCTGTGAGAATCCACTTATTTTTTTAAGTTTATTTATTTATTTATTTATTTATTTGACAGAGAGAGAGAGAGAGAGAGAGAGAGCGTGCACAAGTAGCAGAGAGGCAGGTAGAGAGAGAGGGCAAAACAGGCTCTCTGCTGAGCAAAGATCCCAAAGATCCCAAACCAAAGGCAGAGGCTTAACCCAGTGACCTACCCAGGTGCCTGAGAGTCCACTTGTTAAGAGATCGTCACTTTTGAAGATTGATCACAATGTCTAGTGTATTGACATGTGGTGATTTCATCTCTCTGACACCCCCATCCCACAGCAGACCAACTCATACATTGTCAACACATTGATTCCTTTGTGATTCTTCATCAGTGTTACATGGAAACATACTACTTGCATGAGAAATCACCGCTGACAGTTTTGAGCACCATGTGTTGTTAGGGTCCCAGAGTTAGATCTTTTCACATGGGTGAGTTTTGGAGCCAGGCCAGCATCCCAGGAGGGAGCTGGATTCTGTCACTGCTAAAGGATAGCCCAGGGACCAGAGCTCTGGCCTCAGGTAGTGAGAATCCCTTAACTCTGAAGACAGTCCCACAAGGAGGCTGTGGTGCTCATTCCAGGGACCAAGGACCCCAAGTACTCCTTGTCCCACCCTTGAGACCCTCCTGAGCAAAGAAGCTGCAATCCCAGGTCTGCTTCTGCCTGGACATGGGGATGGAGAGTCGGAAGGTGAGTGGTCAGGATGTTCTCAACATGTCCAGATCAGATGAGTCAGCTCCTGGAACACCAGTGCACAGAGCAGGGGGATGCATTTCCCATGTGAGGCATTCACTGTGTCAGGACTCCCATCAGTGTCCTGGGTGTCACTGTGTGTCTGACCTTCAGAGCAAGGTCTCTTCAGCAGCTGGAGATAGGAGTGATTATTCCAACTTCTTTCTGGGAACTGAACCCTGGACCCCTGCTGACCCCCAGAAATGGTGTCCCTGAGAGGCTTCCCATGGGCAGCTCCAGACATTGTCCTGTTGTTCGTGATGCAGCTCTGCTGTCCCCCGCTGGTGGAGGAGGACTCAGACCAGGAGTTTTCCTCCTGCAGGTTCCCCCACAGCACCTGTCACCTGAGAAGGGATGTGGACCATGGCTTCCAGCCTCCCACAGGCAGCCACCCACCCCCAAGCCCTGCCAAGCCCAGCACAGACAGGCCATATACACGTGCAGGAGGCAGGACAAGTGGGATTCTTGTACTTGTCCTAGGTTTGAAATGCCCTGGGCTATCCTGGTGTCTTGTTATAAAAAGAAGAGTGCAGGGTACAGTGCCCTGCATTTGAAAAGTGTAAATTCCAGATTAATCCATGTGATGTCCTATCACTACTAGTTTCCTGTGTATTAAGTGTCAAGACTGATGCTTCCCCACCCTAATTAGTGTAGATTGTCATAAGTGGGAACAGATGATGCTTTTGGTGTAAAGTTTACTTGTGCACATAAATCTGCATTATTATTGTTGTTGTTGTTATAAACTCCTCAGGGCATAGCTACCAGGACAGGAAATAGGGAGGGAAGGTGGCAGCAGGCTTTCTGTTCCCGACTCACTGCCATCCCCATCCTGTCTGGTCTCTAAAGAGCCCCCTCGGCTTGCACATAGACAGGGTCAGTGGGGTCATGTCCTAGGTTAGAGCTGGAGAAACTGTGGGGACAGTGGAGGCTATTTGGCCATGTAGGGCCATAGGTCCGGGGGCTCTGCTCAGCATTATTGTTTGGTCCTCTATCTCCTGAGCAGGTGGTAGTGTCATGGCCACTCTACTGGGAAAAGCTAATCTTATAGGTCGCCACACAGCCTGAAAAATCAGGAGTCTCTGGGGCTCATTCTCATTGTCCCCAATCTTGCAGCATTCCCTGGGCTGAGCTCAGGCTCAGGGTCATGCTTGGGGTCAGGTGGGGGCTTAGCCCACATGCAGGGCCTTACGGGCAAGAGCTAGGTAGAGAGTGAGGAGCAGGAGCAAGAGAGGGTCCCGGTCATGGTGGAGACCCCAGAGTTCTGTCTCCTGAGGCTACAGCTGAACCTAGCCACTCCAAGCTTCCCTCATGTCATCACTGGTTCCTGTGAAAATGCTCCTTCTCAGGCTGCTGGAGAGAATCTCTGCTCCTGGCAGGCTTCATGGATCTGGTGCCTTGTGGAGCTGTCCCCAACTCTCAGCTCCATAGCAGAACTCCTGTCTGTATGAAAAATTCTTCTTTAATTTTTTTTAAATTTTAATTTAAAATCAATTAATTAACATACAGTGTATTATTGGTTTCAGGAATACAGTTCAGTGATTCATCAGTTGCGTATAACACCCAGGGCTCATTATATCATGTGCCTTCTTTAATATCCATCACCCCCTACGCATCCCCCAGCCTCTTCCCTCCAGCAACCCTCAATTTGTGTCTTATGGTGAAGGGTCTCTTTATGGTTTGTCTCCCTCTCTGGTTTCTTCTTGCTTTATTTTTCCTTCCCTTCCCCTAAATGTAGGGGAAAGGAGGGAGGGGTGAAGGCTATTTCCCTATCAGTTCCTCATGAGATGTGCACTGTGAATATTTCTTTTTTGTTTGTGTGTGTAAAATACATGCAATATAAATAGTTTCATTCTAACTATTTTTAAGTGTTCACTCTCTGTTCTTCCCTGTGAATGTTTCATGTTCTACATTGTGGAGTAGTATTGGCGTGAACTTGTCTTGAACTTACACTTGGATTTTCATGTGGTTTCATTTACAGTAGTTTTCTGAAATGGGATATAGAGTCGGGCATTACTTTGAAACTCAGTTTGACAATCTGTCTTTTCTTTGCATTTAGACCTTTTCCAGGGCATGATTAGCACTGATATTCCACATAACATCCTTGTATATAGTGTTTCTTTATCCATGTTCTCCTGGTTTCCTTTCTCCTTTTCTTCCCTTTTTAAGGTATTGGTGCATTTTTAGGATTCCATTTTATCTCCTACTTTTTTTGTTATTAGCTCTATCTATGTCTGTCATATCCTCATGAGTTGTAATAGTCCACATTCAGGTGTGTTCTCCCATGTCACACAGACTGTCAGATCCTTACAGCAAACTTCTCCCTCTTCTTCTCAGTATTTTTTGCTGTAATTCATATATATTACTTTTAACTCTATTATAAATTCCAACATAGATAGGTATTTGAGTTTCTTTAGACAATGAATTATCTTCAAAAAAGATTTAGATCCTAAAAAAGTCTTAATATTTTCCCTAGTAGTTACCATTTGTGATTTTTTCATCTGTCTTATAGAATCTGATTCTTTCTGAAATCACTCCTTCCTGCTTGAGGGGTGTCCAGTACTATTCCTTTTGTATTGGGTTGGCTGATGATCAATCCTGTCACTTTTTGTATGTATGTCAGAAAATGTTTTATTCAGCCTTCACTTTTGAAAGATGTTCTCCTTTGGTAAAGAATTAATTTTTTCCCTGTATTTTAAAAATTTACTGTCCTTGCTTGCATTTCTGTTAATGAGAAATTTTCTAGAAATTTTCTCTGTCTTTCCCTAAAAACTGTGTGTCTTTCCCTTTTGTTTACTTTTGAGAATGCCTCGTTTTCCCTGCCTATTTGACACTGGTGGGTGTTTTTTTTTTTTTTAAACCTATGTCTTGTAGTTAAAGTGTGTTGAGCATTTGGGGTCTGGGGGTTTTAGTTACAGGTATAGTTATAGGCTGGTTTAACAGATGATCACACAGGGGCTTGATCTAGCCTCTGCTGGTGCCTGTAAGCATATTTAATTCCAGTGCTATTTCCCCACAGGTGATCCTGGATGTCTGCCCCAGGACCACCTATACAGAGGAGGGTTGAGTCACCTCATAGGAGGCCACAGCTGCAAGAGAGGAAAGGAGAGGTTGGCCAGAAAATCAAGGACTCATTCCAAGAGACTGCCCACCTGTGAAGCCTGGCCTGAGCTCCAGGGATTTTCTAGATCTACAGGGGTGCCCCTTTCATCAGCCTTAGTCCCAGAGTAGCATGGGTCTGACTGGTGGTTGGAGCTTTTAAGAAAACTGGGAAAGAACTCTATTCCTGGGCATGGACATTCCACCATGGCTCACAGAAAGCCATAAGCATTGTAGGGGTGTTTCACTCACCCAGCTCTCATCCTGCAGCAGGGTCAGGAGTATCCTCTCCCCAGGAAGCCCCTGAAGGGCTCAGACATAGGGTCTGGCTTGTCGCAAGGACCTGGAGCTGGTGTGGCTGTAAGCCTGGGCTCAGCACCTGTGCAGTGAGCAGGACACTGAGGAGCAGAAGGGTCCAGGCCATGGTGGAGGTGCGCTGATTCTGCTCCAAGATCTGAGGTTAGGCAAGTGTCCCAGGCCTCTCTTAGCCCATTGCTGGAGACAACTACTGATTTTGCAAAACAGTGGGGCCTCAGGGGTTGCTGCTAAAGAGCTTTGTGGGATCTCAGAAAGAGAACACAGGAACACAAGGAACACAGAGAGGGCAGGGGTGGTTCTTGTTGGCTCAACTCTCAGCCCAGAGGATTCTGTTTCACCCT